GAGAGAGAGAGAGAGAGAGAGAGAGAGAGAGAGAGACTCTAATAGGAGATGCAAATAGAGCGGTGAATTGGATAACTCCCGGAGTGTGCGATACATAGTGTGAATGAATAGGTTTAGGGCTCAAAAGATGCCAACTCTGTCTCCATTTGGTGTCACTCTTGAGAACTTTATTTATGAGAATATTCTTAGGTTTCACTCAAAAGTCGGTTATTTTGACGAATATCTAAAAAGTTGAGCCAACTTTGAGAGAGTTCCGCACATTATAGCTTATGATTTATGGAAACAGATTGTGAGCCAATTTGGTTGTTATGTTAAAAGTGTATCAAACGATTGTTAGAACTTGTATTAAAGCTTATTATTTGATGTTTTTTCTATCATATGAATACAGGCATAGAATTCGATCAATATTTGAAAGCGTGGCTAATATTACATAACATTACATCTCATATAATAGAGTGAATGCAGAGAATCTACAAAAGAATTGTTGTGTTCAATAGTATAGTATAGTTAGAGTCCAACACAAACTGCACATTTGCACAACTGAGTTGGGAGTGGCTCTCCATCTCACCTCTCATACTCTCTCTCTCTCTCTCTCTCTCAACACTTTCAAATTAACGACTTATAGTACTTTTTGCATAACAACCCATTCATTGAATAATTGCCAAAATACTTTATGAATATTATTTTTGTCACCAAAAAACAAATGAAATAATGGACTACTTTCTAGAAGTTATAGAAGTTTAATATATTTACATTAAGTCGTTTCAAACGTGTTTCCAATAATAATAATATCTAAAAATTATATTTAATTCAAAACACCCGTTATTTACATGAAAATTGTTAGTTATTTTGGGATCAATTCACAAATAATGAACAAAACAATAAAATAATGATTAGACTGTACTTTACCTGATGATGGGGTGACAGAAAACACTACACCATATATGCAAGTGTTTATTGAAAGCACACAACTGTCCAAATAAATTGAATAATACTTTATATAACAACTGATTCTGGAGTTTAAGCGCTGTTTTTACGACAATTTATGTTTAATTCTTGGCTTTCATTTGAGTCACACATTGAGTGGAAAAGCATTGGAAAAATACTACAAACAAATAAATGTTTGTTAATATAGTTGTCATACAATTGAAAGTTTTTCAATTGGATTGAGATATAAATATAATGAGAAGATTAATATAAAGGTATAATATATAATATAAGACACGATAAGTTTGTCAGTGTATCTGAATCTGTATTTTATGCAATTCGTGCTGAACTCTATTGTTTCACAATTGAGTTACGATTCTGTAATTTTGCCAACAAATTCATGCCTATTATTATACTATTGTTTATTTAAATGCTTATTAATTACCAGAACTTAATCTGATAGTCATTTATGTTAATTTAAACCATACTTTATTAATGCATTTAAGAATAAAATTGGACTTAAAATACTAATTTATTGTTGTATTTTCATTCAATCAAAATTTTAATATCATTCATTTTACTTAAATATAACTTTTGTAACATTTTTAACTATTTCTAACATTTGATTTTAAATTGGTAAATGATTGCATAATACTATATGTATGCAAATTTTGTTGTATCTTTGATGTATCAATAGATTTCACTGTTATTTAGATGGAAGTCTAGAACCATTGATATATTGATAAAACTTTATAATGGTTGATGGTAAATGATTGAATCCTAATTTAGACCATTTGATGTAATAATTTATTTAAAGTAATGGTATGTTAGGCACAGTTAGCGAGTGTTCAACTCATGTTCTAAGAGTGGGAATGAATGCCATAAATATATGTATTGATTAATAGTTGGCATTTCACCAAACGATCGCTAATTTCACCATAATTTTATAATTAAACACTGTTTACAACAAATCTCGTAATTAATTATATGATCAATTTTCGACATAAAAGTATATATTCCAATAGAAATGAAGTATAAAACTAAAAATAAAGCACACGATATAAATTTGTTTATTAAGATTGCATATAATAATCGCAATGATTTTTATTTATGGACGGATTTGATTTTTGTTTATAAAAATTATAATCATTTAAAAATTTTATTCTAACAATGAATTTGTTTGTCAAAAGCAACTCTTAAATAAAATAAGCATAAAATTGTTATTGTTATTAAAACACACAATATTTGTGTAAATATTACACACTTTTTAGATACAAATTAAAGAATTAATAAATGCTTTAATAAGTTGTCAAGAATTTTATATATAAAAATGCTTTAATGCTATGAACGCTACCGGAAACCTAAATATATATGTATTTCTTAAAAACAATTTGTAAATTTAAAAATACAAGAATAATAAGAGTATGTTTTACATGAATGATATAAATTACATCTTTTTTATTATTGAAATAATTGAATAATAAAATTGATTATTTGTTTTAATGATTATATTTGTTGTTTGGGAAACGAATAGTTGTTTACTTTATAAAGAAATGACTTTTATATAAATAAATACATTAATTTTCATGTGTTTGAATGGATTGCATTGGATTTGGGAAATGATGTGTTCATTGATGGCCAGGTATTCACATCTCAATCATTAACAGCTTTTTCCAAAGTATTTTATAATATTTTTGAAAACAATAACTTTAGTTTAAAATTTACATTAAAACACACAAACTATTCAGAAATGTTTTGATAAAAACTGCTTTAAATTAATTTATAAAAAAGCAAAAAGTCATAGAAATCACAGATTTGTTTAATAAAATTTAATGTTGAGCTAAAAATAAATAAAATCTGAGTTTAGAGAGAGAGAGAGAGAGAGAGAGAGAGAGAGAGGGAGAGAGTGAGGGAGAGGTTTTAATTTGATTTGAAGTTATCATTTTGATGGTTAATCCAAAGTAAACATTTAGTGTCTCTACTTATGTGCTATAAAATGAATCTATTTTTAAAATAAGTGCAAAACTAACACAAGAAGTTTTTAAAGGCTTTTAAGACATTCTCTGCTCATTCATTATAATTAATTATTTGGATAACTATTAAACTTATTTTCAAAATATATTGGCAGAAGTGTACGGATTTTGTTTGATTTGGCACTAAATGATCTTAATTTTAGATTTTGTGTTAGTTATGGCTAATTATATACAATAAAATAAATGAATAAAACTTTTTCATTACGTATAGCATATGAAATACATTGAAAGCATTTTCTTCCATCAAAATTGTCATTTGCTCTCCAAATGTCAGACGTTTTTCACTTTGATTCCATCCCTTCCTCTCAGCCCTCACTTAAATCTAATCTAATTATAATTATTTATATATATAATCGTCATTTGAAATGAAATATTTCATTATATATACACATAATTTTGCCTATAAATAATCAAACGCTCAAATCCTATAGATTTTCAATTCATTTCTCAATGGATTTATGATTAAAAATAAGATCTAATTATATTATATTTTGATTTAATCTCGATATGAATAATAATCACTTGTTTAAGAGAAACACGAAAATCGCTATTTTTATAAATTAATTTTCACATCTCTTTACAATTTTCTGTTTTTTAAACAACCGATAAATTTAGAGTTTAATTACATATTATTAGAATTTGAATCAATTATTATTTAAGTTTTGGTTTAGTTTTGAATGTTTTTAAATAAAATAATTAAATCCAGACTAGAATTGAAAGATTTAATTTATAACATGAAGAAATTCTTAGTGAAATGTTTTTATGAAATCAATTAAATTAAAAAGCAATTGAAAGTTAATTAGATTTATCAGAAATATAGTTAGCTATCACTCTATTTTGATTGTTTTATTTTGATTTTTGATATCATTTAAAAGGTATTTAGCGTACAATTCATTTCTCATGTAATAATGTATTAATTAATGCATTAATTGTTTTATTTTTACGGAAAATAATCAAATATAGTATTAATTATAGTATAAATCCCTGAGATTCCGATGCAATTTGTGTTTTATTATTCGTATGAGAAATGAAAGTATAATAAAAACCCTTTTAGTAATTAATTTCCAGAAAGTATAACATAACAAATAGATTAAGATTTCGTGTCTTTTAATGACTTTAATATTAACTAATTTTGATTCAAAGAAATTAAGAGACACTGAAATAAAGTGTGTGAAACAAAAGTGCGAACAAAATGCATAAATCGTATCAAGATAATAATAATATTATATTAATAATAATGTATGTAATAATGAGAAATAAAATGCAATAATGTATATATAAATAGAGATTTTCTCAGATGAATACCTGGCCATTCATTGCTCGCATCGATGGCTGAGAATAATTTCAAAAAACATTTGTTACAAAGTTTTAAATACGAGAAATAAAAACAATAGGTTTAGGTTTAAAACCGGTAAATAATAGTATATAAGGTGTGTATGGAGTTTGATATATGATAACAAATTTTAAATTAAATTAATTATTTTTGTTCTGCAAATTAAGAAATAGCAAAAAACATTTAAAAACTTATATATAATATCAACAGTATATCAATATAGCTATCATTAAAACTACAGAATATATATAATATTAATGAATAGATAAGTATAAAAAGGTATCATTTCTTCTATTACTTTGTGTTTTGTTGTATAAACGAAAACTCATTTCTGTTATATTTTTTCTGTCATGTATTAAATTAAATGCAATATTAATTCAAACAATAAATCTTGTCTTTTGTTGCGATTTGTTAAAGAATTATTGAAATGACACAAAAATATATGCATTTCTTTGAAAAACTCAATGAATTGTTATGTGATTTAAGTTAAAGATGGCGAGAATGCGAACACGAAATATATATATATTATTATTATTATTATAAGTTAATATTATTTAAAAACTACTCATATTTATATTAAATTTTTTCCATACAAACTTCTTTACAAATTGTATGATTCTTGCGATTAAAATATTAACTTTGAAACAATTGTTTTGGTTTTTTGTTTGTTTTGTAAAGTTTTTTAAAAATCTCTTCGGAGACGGAGAGCGAAGAGACGGCGAGAAAACGAGTAATAGATTTCGTCGATATAAATGTCGGGTAAAAAGTCTGAGAATTTAGTTTTCAAATAAAAGGCACTAAAATAGTGATGATTGCAAATATCATTTGGTAGACCATTAATAATAGTATATTTTCAAAAACTTTGATCGCTTTTAATGTTTGTCTAAAATAGTTGTTGAGAGACGCGTTCACGAGTGTCGACTCCGGGCTGACTGAGCGTAAAGAGTTCCGTGATATACAATACCATTGATTTCCATACTGACTGCCAATTGACTCTCTATCTGAGACCTACCGTCTGTTACACAGCAAACAAATCAGATATAATTATTAGGCAAGAGTTGGACAGGAAATGGGATGAGAAGTGGTATACCTCTGTTCATAACTTTGATCTGAACGCTGGGGAGCGCGGCGTGCATTAGGAATCGCTCCTATAGTTAATACAAACATATGACACAATTAATACACAATAAATGGGTGATAGTGTATGACATAATAGCCATTACCTCATCAGATAGTAATCGTTTGGCGGGCGTCACTCCCAGAGCGTCTTCCATGATCTTCCTCGAGGTCTCGAGCGCTCTGTTCGTGAAGTCGCTTGCATTGCGTGGATTCACTTCAAGATTTAAAGCCTCCGATTGTGGCATCGGATTGTGATGAGAGAAATGATGAGTTGGTGTCGAAGATATACTTCCATTGTCTTCTTCACCTTTCAAATGATAAACAAATTTAGAAATTAATTAATTTATTTTATGATTAATTGATCAACTTTTCCAAGAGTTACTTCTTATAGTGAAATGAAAAATAAGTTAAACACAAATATTTATTATCGCATATAAAAAATATATCGTTTTAATGTTGTTTTGCGAGCATTTAATCATAGCTCAGGTATGAGTGGTTCACAATCGGATAAATTAAAAATTAGTCATTTATTAAAAGTGTATAGAAGTGGCGGAACCACGCGCTCTATCAAGTGATTAGTTTTGATAATTCGTGTGATGATAGCAAAACTCGAGAGAGAGAGAGAGAGAGAGAGAGAGAGAGAGAACAGATAGAGAGAGAGAGAGAGAGAGAGAGAGAGATGGGATAAGTGGTAGTAGAAAGTGATTGGAAGACAATCTGAGTGTAAGTCTTAAGAGTGGAATCAATTAAGAAGAGATGGCAACGACTGGGCGTTTACTGTCTTATATAAAGCACTGATTTCGTGATCATGAGGTCTGACATGAGAAATGGTTGGACCGCACAAAGCAATTCAACATCACATATAAACCTGAATTAAAACAAATATATACTTCTCTTTATATAAATAAATTTCGTTTATATTTAACATTATATGAAATGCAATGCAATTCATTAAATTCTCACAGAAGAGAGAGAGAGAGAGAGAGAGAGAGAGAGAGAGAGAGCAAAAAATACTTAACGCATATATGTATTCATAATAGAAATAAGTTATTTAACATAATATTAATAGAAATAAGATATAAATGATTAATAATTCATTTCACAACAAAAATCATCATATTTATCAAACTCTGTCCTTGAATTTAAAGCAAACAAATTATATAATATATAAAAAAATTTGGTTTAAAATCAGTTTTAAATAAAACCCATGTATAGTATAGACGCGAATATAAGATACACACGAATAAAAATATAATGAAAATCTCCTTTCATTGCATTTATTGTGTAATAAAAAATCAGTTTAAGAGCAATGACTTATTTGCCAATGCTTTCCAATTGATTGCCATTTTTGTCAATTTTGTATGAATTACAGACACAGAATATTTAAATCATTTTTACGACTCAAATAAGTAATCAATAAAATCACATGAAATCACAATTTATTTGTTTAGTTTATTATCGATACTAATTATTCATTAGTTTTGCATTAAATATTCACAAATAAAATAAAAATTAGAAAATTTTCTTAAAATAAGTTTTTTAGATATACGGTAATAATTATTCACAGAATCATTATTACAAATAGTTTCATGTATTGATTAAGTCATCCAAAATAAATAATACTACAATTCTTACAGATAATGTTTATAAACAAAAATATATTTCTTAAAAACTAAATCAAATTAATTGTTTTAAAATTTTAATTAATGTTAATCGAGAACTTATATAACAAAACAAGACATGAATATCAGTGATCTGTTTTGCCGGTCATTAAAATATTGTCAGTTATGATGAATAGCCAAATGATATTCTGTATATGAAAGCGAATTAGAGCCGGCATTTAAATATATCCTCACATTAATAAATATTCGTTAAATAAAATAAATTTAAATAAAAGCAATTAATAATTTATAGACAATTATACCCACTATACTGTATGAACGAGAGATCATTACAATTAAAATACATAATGTATTTTAAGAGTGAATAATAATGAATGAATTTCTTTGTTTATTTAATGAAAGCGTTTATTTAATAGAATCGATGTTTTTCTCTAAAATTATTTTTTGTTTGCATTTTATAATGAAAATTATGGAAAAGTCTTGCAATAAATTATTTGCAAAAAAACAGAAATTCTCACACATTTAGCCTTAAGTTCCACACACTTAGCAGCAAATAAATGCGATTACTTTAATAAAATAAGTGAACGTAAACTCTCTCTTATAAAAACTATTAATAAAAACTAAAAAACTTGTTTATGAGAAGACCTCTTGTTTTTAGTGTTTTATAAAATCAACAAAAAATCTGTGCGAAAGACAAAGTAATTCTTAATAACTTATAATTAATTAAACGTAAAGCTCAGCCGATAAGAGAGTTTCGTTAAGTTTTGACATCAGATTTGACATAATATAAGAAGAATTAAATTAAGAGATTTATAAAGCATTCAATTAAAATGTGTCGGCGCTGTCGTGCGTGTAATGCAATGTGTTTTTAGTTTTATGTGTTTCAGAATAAACCGTAACACCGATGAGAGCTTGAGTGCAAAGGATGAGCAATGAAAGAGAGTGTGGAGAGAGAGAGAGAGAGAGAGAGAGAGAGAGAGAGAGAGGCTCACCTGATGACATTCCCTGTGAGTTGTGGCCATTTAATTGACGTGAAACAAGACTTAGAGGTGATGTGTGGAGATGAGTGGCCTGATTGCGATTCATGTGCGGAGGAGGCGTCGCGCCAACCATTTCTGGGTACTGACCATAACTGGAACGCCGGCCTTCTCTGCGGTTGCCATCGATGGCGGACTGGAGTTCGTCCGGTGAACTCAGTTTCTCTTTCTCGCACTCGTATGGGTACAGGTATTTCATATATCTATTGAGTACGAAAACAAATACCAATGGATTATCAATGAAGTCCATAACTTATATAATATACCGCTTCAGGCATTTCTTTGTAATTTTATCCGCAGAAAAAATTATAGAAACAAAACAATAAAAAGTAATGCAATTGTATATATCATATATGATATGAGAAGTGCAAGTCAGTCATCAAACAAGTTATTCAGCAGAACTCGCATCTCATAAAAATTCATT